TGCTCGCATAGAAAACAAGCCAAACATAAAATTTCGCAATTAAATCCTGCTCGCATTGAAAATAAGCCAAATATAAAACTTCGCAACGATATCTTGCTCGCAGAGAAAACAAGCCACATATAAACTTCGCAATGAAACCTTGCTCGCACATAAAACAAGCCAAATATAAAACTTCGCAATGAAATCTTGCTCGCACATAAAACAAGCCAAATATAAAACTTCGCAATGAAACCTTGCTCGCACATAAAACAAGCCAAATATAAAACTTCGCAATGAAACCTTGCTCGCACATAAAACAAGCCAAATATAAAACTTCGCAATGAAACCTTGCTCGCACATAAAACAAGCCAAATATAAAACTTCGCAATGAAACCTTGCTCGCACATAAAACAAGCCAAATATAAAACTTCGCAATGAAACCTTGCTCGCACATAAAACAAGCCAAATATAAAACTTCGCAATGAAACCTTGCTCGCACATAAAACAAGCCAAATATAAAACCGCCCTTCCATACAATTCCACGTTTTTCTATGTGCGGAGATTCTATTGTTGTGGTCGTTCTCCCTGATTAGTTGCCTGGTTTCCCCTTTGTTCTGTGAGCGGAAGTTTATACTTTCGTTCATCTTTTATTTCCGCATTTTCTTTGTACATTTTTGCTGGGAGCCATACGGGATTACGATGCTTAATATCTACATACGGTCTCTTCACAACGTAGAAAAAAATGTGTCTTAATCCTGCGATAAAAACGTGGGAATATTGCAGTTGATTGAGTTGTCTTTGATCGCCCACACACTAGGCACGCCGCAATCAACTTCACCAGCCCATGATCAACACTAGCTGTGCGCATGCGTGAAGGTCCCGTCTAAATATAGAATGATGGCTGCACACCTTGTCTTATTTCTGGAACTTTCCTGCATCCTGGTGTAGAGAAGAATTTGGCAACCACTTAAATACCAACACATTGCTGCAATAATGTTTTTTTTTTTGGCTCATTTGTCGAGTGACCTTGACTGTAGCCTCGGGTTTCCCCGATATTGTCACAACATCGTTAGCCTGGTATCTGATAAGTGAAGTCCTTCCATTGTTTACTCTCGCCGTCTCATTAGACTTTCTACTTGCATACCGGAACCTATGTTTTTGTCTGCTTGTTTTCAAACATCAACTTTCTACTTGCATACCGGAACCTATGTTTTTGTCTGCTTGTTTTCAAACATCAACTTTCTACTTGCATACCGGAACTTATGTTTTTGTCTGCTTGTTTTCAAACATCAACTTTCTACTTGCATACCGGAACTTATGTTTTTGTCTGCTTGTTTTCAAACATCAACTTTCTACTTGCATACCGGAACTTATGTTTTTGTCTGCTTGTTTTCAAACATCAACTTTCTACTTGCATACCGGAACTTATGTTTTTGTCTGCTTGTTTTCAAACATCAACTTTCTACTTGCATACCGGAACCTATGTTTTTGTCTGCTTGTTTTCAAACATCAACTTTCTACTTGCATACCGGAGCTTATGTTTTTGCCTGCTTGTTTTCAAACATCAACTTTCTACTTGCATACCGGAACTTATGTTTTTGCCTGCTTGTTTTCAAACATCAACTTTCTACTTGGTGTAATATGATGCATAGTTAAAATATCAACATTCTAAAAACAACAACATTCTCCTTGGTGCAAAACGGTGCGTGTTTAAACATCAACATTCTACTTTGTGTATATTGGCGCGTATTTAAAACATCAACATTCTACGTTGTGCATATTGGCGGTTATTTAAAACATCAACATTCTATTTTGTGTATATTGGCGCAACATTTTGCTATGAGCAAAACAAGTGTTTTCATTTATTCATGAAGTTGAAAATAACTGTATTATTGATGAATATATAAGCCTACTATCCTTTAACAGAGATATTTTTAACACAACAATATCGAGGGATGAATCACGAGTATTCCGTTGAATCGTTCGTCTTATGGTTCTGTTATAGGTGTTTGTCCAGTACTTTCTCTAACGTGTTTCTGTGTAGTCTGCCAGTTATCTTGACCTGCTCCTATCTCCGGTGTTCGACAAGATTTTATCTACCAGCGACAGCGCTGTGAGGCATAGTAATGCTATCAGATGTATGTGAAATGTATCCTCTTGTGACGTCATGTCTGGAAGTTCTAGAAGTCTGTGACGTCATGTTTGGGTGGAGTATTAACTTTTCATGTCGGGAAATGTTTTTTTTTTCTAGGGTTAGGAAGAACTTCTGTAGTTTTTTTTTAAAAGACTTAGGTTTTTTTTTGTTTTTTTTTTTTTACAGCTGCTTCACGTTAAAAAATCGACTTCGTTAATTAAGTACTCTAACTTTCTTAAAGCTTAATTAATTAGCTAACAAATAAGAAAGTCAGATAATTTAATTTTCTAAAAACTTGATTAGTTGAAATATTTATTAAAAAAACATTTACAGCTCAGCTAATTAATAATCTAACTTTCTTAAGCTTAATTAGTTCTATTTAATTCCAGCAGTATTGAACTAAGTTTTTCTCAGTCCTTAGCAGCAGATTAGTAATGCTAATTAGGATCACGCACCCGCCACACCACACCCACCCCTGACCAGACCCTACCCACCCCTGACCACACCCAACCATCCCCTGACCACACCCCACCCACCCCCTGACCACACCCCACCCACCCCCTGACCACACCCCACCCACCCCCTGACCACACCCCACCCACCCCCTGACCACACCCCACCCACCCCCTGACCACACCCCACCCACCCCCTGACCACACCCCACCCACCCCCTGACCACACCCCACCCACCCCTGACCTATAAGGTAGCCTCTCATGCTCACCAGCACATAAAACATGCATCACGTGATCAAGCATGGCCGCTGGCACGCTCACCTGCCGTCTGCTCACACAAAAGGTCTCGCCATTCAGTTTGTGTTTCCCGCCATGTTTCCGTCGGTTTCCGCCCAATTTAAAGGGCATTGTGTCTGGCTGGCGTGGAACGACACCAGTACTTGTAATCGAACTGTAGTGGGGGAAATAGGAAGGGATCGATATGGTCCGTATCGCTATACTACATTATTAGTTAACGAGCGTAATTTTTAAAGATAGAATAGAACGATACCAATGTGGTGCCGATACAAAGTTTGGGAATGTTTGATTCAACTTGTCTAAAGCAATGTGTAGCTTGTCTCGTCTAATGCGACGTGTACGATTGGTTCTCTATACTAAACTCTCATTACCTCACCAATCCACCTCATATCTACCTCACCCAGCCACCCCCCCCCCCCCATCTACCTCACCTCACCAACCCCTCATCCCATCCACCTCACCAACCCACCTCATCCCATCCCATCCACCTCACCAACGCACCTCATCCCATCCCATCCACACCACCAACACCTCATCCCATCCACCTCCCCAACCCACCTCATCCCATACACACCAGCAACCCCTCATCCCATCCATCTCACCAACCCATGCCCCCCCCCCCTCCCCATCTACCTGTAAACCCACACCACTAACCCATGTGTCGCCCCCCCCCCATCTACCTGTAAACCCACCTGACCAACCAATTACCACCTATTACTTGAGCTATCCCACGCTCCAATACCACACTTTACATGTCTGCTCGAACTGCATTTTTATGCTGGAGTGGAGGAATGCGATGGGAGGGTGGGGGTGGGTACAGGCAGGGGGTGGGGGTGTAAAAAAAATAGCCCACCTGTAACACGTGTTGCCAGGAGAACTGCGCAGTAGCGGTTGGTGCACGTGCACATATACTGGTGCTGTGTAAGCTGTTGTATCATCCATTGGTCAGCTGTTTGTTGTATCATCCATTGGTCAGCTGTTTGTTGTATCATCCATTGGTCAGATGTTGTATCATCCATTGGTCAGATGATTGTTGTATCATCCATTGGTCAGTTGATTGTTGTATCATCCATTGGTCAGTTGATTGTTGTATCATCCATTGGTCAGTTGATTGTTGTATCATCCATTGGTCAGCTGATTGTTGTATCATCCATTGGTCAGCTGATTGTTGTATCATCCATTGGTCAGCTGATTGTTGTATCATCCATTGGTCAGCTGCTTGTTGTATCATCTATTGGTCAGATGATTGTTGTATCATCCATTGGTCAGTTGATTGTTGTATCATCCATTGGTCAGCTGATTGTTGTATCATCCATTGGTCAGCTGATTGTTGTATCATCCATTGGTCAGCTGATTGTTGTATCATCCATTGGTCAGCTGTTTGTTGTATCATCCATTGGTCAGATGATTGTTGTATCGTCCATTGGTCAGCTGATTGTTGTATCATCCGTTGGTCAGATTATTGTTGTATCATCCATTGGTCAGCTGATTGTTGTATCATCCATTGGTCAAGTTTTTGTTGTGTCATCTTTTTGTCAACTTTTGGCAGTATCATCGATTTGTCAACTTTCTGTTAAAGTTTGGAGAATATTCATGTCGCTAATAACCAGCAAATCATTGAAATTACAAAGACCAGAATTTCGTTTTTTGTTTCACATTAAAACAACAAATGAAACATGTTGCTAATATTTAAAAATAATGTGTAGCGTTTTTTAAACTATATGTTTTAATTAGCGTTAATTAGTTCGCTAATCTGATATTATACACTTGAGTAGTATATTTATTTTTACATTGTGATCGATAACTATTTTTTAAATTTTATCATTACAACCAACGTTTATTTCCGCTATTGTTGAGTTTATCTAGCTGTGAGTTGTGTATGCAGTTTTCGATGCTATGTTTTTAATGTTTTAACCTTATATTTTTGTATTCGATTCCGCATATGTCGGTTGAAGCAGAACAAAATATCCTATTGATTAACCGTACACCTCAAACCCCCCCCCCCCTCTCTTTTCCTTCTGACCGGACAATTCACCTCGCGGGGGTTTTTTCCCCCCTCGCCTCAGCGCCTCGCTCACCGCGCAGCTGTTTTGAGCTAGGTCGCCAGGCAGGGGACGGTACTCTGTTTACATTCAGTCTTGAGTCGCGTCCCATCGGGAAGTCTCGTTCAAATATTTTCTGCACTTTGTGGACTATCGCAAATTTTTTTGGATTCCCCCCACATCACACGCTGTGAGTTGACCGGTCGTGTTGCTAGACGTGAAACAAAAAATGAAACGTGTGCCGCTGTGTTTTTTTTTATTTCCGTGTTGTGTGTTGTTTTAGACGAGTTCGATAACACACCTGATAACGTAAGCCTCTGCTAAAAATCTACGGATTAGATTAAAATTTAAGTAGTTTTTTAATGTGTTTATTTTCATTACGAGTAAATACATATAGATCTACATCTACCAACTAATACTAAATCTGTTTATACAATGTCTATTAAAGTCCGAATTTAGTTTACTTTTTCTCTTACTGGTATAGATAAAACGGTTCTGTGAAGCAGCATTCCTTTACAGCCAATATTACCATAGTAACAAGAGGATAGCATCAACATCCGGTTTCGATTTGAACATTCCGATCTTATTGATGGCGAGTTGAAAAGGTCGCGTCTTCACGTCCGGGCGTGTTATACACCTGGATTAGCCAGGTTAGTTTAACCGATCAAATTCTTCCATACCTGGATTAGCCAGGTTAGTTTAACCGATCAAATTCTTCCATACCTGGTTTAGCCAGGTTATTTTAACCGATCAAATTCTTCCATACCTGGATTAGCCAGGTTAGTTTAACCGATCAAATTCTTCCATACCTGGTTTAGCCAGGTTATTTTAACCGATCAAATTCTTCCATACCTGGATTAGCCAGGTTATTTTAACCGATCAAATTCTTCCATACCTGGATTAGCCAGGTTATTTTAACCGATCAAATTCTTCCATACCTGGATTAGCCAGGTTATTTTAACCGATCAAATTCTTCCATACCTGGATTAGCCAGGCTAGTTTAACCGATCAAATTCTTCCATACCTGGATTAGCCAGGTTATTTTAACCGATCAAATTCTTCCATACCTGGATTAGCCAGGCTAGTTTAACCGATCAAATTCTTCCATACCTGGATTAGCCAGGTTATTTTAACCGATCAAATTCTTCCATACCTGGATTAGCCAGGCTAGTTTAACCGATCAAATTCTTCCATACCTGGATTAGCCAGGTTATTTTAACCGATCAAATTCTTCCATACCTGGATTAGCCAGGTTAGTTTAACCGATCAAATTCTTCCATACCTGGTTTAGCCAGGTTATTTTAACCGATCAAATTCTTCCATACCTGGATTTTTTTATCCTTCTACCTCCACACAGCTCTACCTTAAGCTGATTTAGCTCTCACACATTTAGCTTGTCAGTGTTAGACCATGGGGTATTGGTAAAAAACTTGGGTTAGGTTTAGTTTGGTAGAGGGTTATTTTTCATATCGATACCGATCGACATGGGTGTGGTCGACAATCTTCTTTATCTTTGATTATCGATTGGGTCATCGATCAATTTATTCTGGTTCAACTTAATATTCCCTTGGTTGTTTTTCGTGTGATTATATAGCTGTTTAATTTTACGGTGCTTATAAAATACATTGACGTAAGATTCGTTTTTGCTTTAAATTAAAATAGATCGATTGAACATTTAAGTGAAACTTGTACCAACTTGATTTGTAGTAACTAGTGACTTTGTAAATTAATCTTACTTTTACCTCTTTCAAGTGGGTCACCTGTGTTCTGGATTACTCCACCGTGAAGGATACCATCTAAACCAAGTGATCTAACCCTGACAAAAATAACTAACTACCTGGATCAGTTGTGTTCTGGATTACTTTAGTGTGCAGGATACAATCTAATCCAAGTGATCTAACCAGGACAAGGTAAGTTCTTGCAGTATTACTCACGTCTGACATTTTCTAGAACTCCCCAATTACCTGACGTGCCTGCTGTAGCATACAGCACACGCCGGCCTGCACACGGCTGTGGGTTAATGAACTCACCCCACCAGGCTTGTTGTGTGGGTTGTGTGGGTTAATGAACCTCACCCTACCAGGCTTGTTGTGTGGGTTAATGAACCTCACCCCACCAGGCTTGTTGTGTGGGTTGTGTGGGTTGTGTGGGTTAATGAACCTCACCCCACCAGGCTTGTTGTGTGGGTTGTGTGGGTTGTGTGGGTTAATGAACCTCACCCTACCAGGCTTGTTGTGTGGGTTAATGAACCTCACCCCACCAGGCTTGTTGTGTGGGTTGTGTGGGTTGTGTGGGTTAATGAACCTCACCCTACCAGGCTTGTTGTGTGGGTTAATGAACCTCACCCTACCAGGCTTGTTGTGTGGGTTGTGTGGGTTGTGTGGGTTAATGAACCTCACCCCACCAGGCTTGTTGTGTGGGTTAATGAACCTCACCCTACCAGGCTTGTTGTGTGGGTTGTGTGGGTTGTGTGGGTTAATGAACTCACCCCACCAGGCTTGTTGTGTGGGTTAATGAACTCACCCCACCAGGCTTGTTGTGTGGGTTAATGAACTCACCCCACCAGGGTTGTGTGGGTTAATGAACCTCACCCCACCAGGCTTGTTGTGTGGGTTAATGAACCTCACCCCACCAGGCTTGTTGTGTGGGTTAATGAACCTCACCCCACCAGGCTTGTTGTGTGGGTTGTGTGGGTTAATGAACTCACCCCACCAGGCTTGTGTGGGTTAATGAACCTCACCCCACCAGGCTTGTTGTGTGGGTTGTGTGGGTTAATGAACCTCACCCCACCAGTCTTGTGTGGGTTAATGAACCTCACCCCACCAGTCTTGTGTGGGTTAATGAACCTCACCCCACCAGGCTTGTTGTGTGGGTTGTGTGGGTTAATGAACCTCACCCCACCAGGCTTGTTGTGTGGGTTGTGTGGGTTAATGAACTCACCCCACCAGGCTTGTGTGGGTTAATGAACTCACCCCACCAGGCTTGTGTGGGTTAATGAACTCACCCCACCAGGCTTGTTGTGTGGGTTGTGTGGGTTAATGAACCTCACCCCACCAGGCTTGTGTGGGTTAATGAACCTCACCCCACCAGGCTTGTTGTGTGGGTTGTGTGGGTTAATGAACTCACCCCACCAGGCTTGTGTGGGTTAATGAACTCACCCCACCAGGCTTGTGTGGGTTAATGAACCTCACCCCACCAGGCTTGTGTGGGTTAATGAACCTCACCCCACCAGGCTTGTTGTGTGGGTTGTGTGGGTTAATGAACTCACCCCACCAGGCTTGTGTGGGTTAATGAACTCACCCCACCAGGCTTGTTGTGTGGGTTGTGTGGGTTAATGAACTCACCCCACCAGGCTTGTGTGGGTTAATGAACCTCACCCCACCAGGCTTGTTGTGTGGGTTGTGTGGGTAGGCCTAGCTACATACGTTGGAATCTCTCTACGATACAGTTTGTCTACGACCTACTTGTAGACTTACTTAGTACCGAGTGATGGACTATCACAAGCTTGTTGTTCAAGAGGGTAGACTGAAATACAGGGGCTAGAGAAATACATTTGGAATTCTAGTGACTCTAGCCTTGCATTCCATTGATCTAGTGTCTCTTTTTAACAGTTCCGTGACTCTAGTGACTCTATCCCTACAGTCTTGTGACTCTAGTGACTCTACCCCTACAGTTTTGTGACTCTACCCCTACGGTTTTGTGACTCTACCCCTATAGTCCCGTGACTCTAGTGACTCTACCCCTACATCCCCGTGACTAGTGACTCTACCCCTACATCCCCGTGACTCTAACAGAAAGGACACGTCTAGACCTATCGGTTGCCGTGTACTTCAAGTCTCTAGCACCGTGTCACGTGCACGCACGCCGTAACGAGTGAGTACTGGCTGTGCAAACAGAACGCCACTACGAGCGTTGTCTGAGAGCTTGAGTCGACGTGTGCACATGCCACAGACTAGGTACTCACGCTAGACGTTTCAGTCCCCTCCCCCACTAGCTGTAGTATGTTAGTAGCCCCCCCCCCCCCTTTCCCTCCCACTAGCCGGAATGTGTTAATAGTCCCCAGACTAACCGGAGTGTGTTCAAAGTCTCGCTGCCTACAACTAGCCTGGGTAGACTACTCACCCTGTTTCAGTGTGTCAATAGTCCCCTTCACTAGCCGGAGTGTTCCTGCTGTTTAAGTAGCCACATCTAGTGCTAGCCAGCACTTTATTCTCTATTAGTTTACGTCCATACACCAATCACATACAGTCTTTTGTCTATGGAATTTGTATACAAGTTGTTTCTTTCATTAGCACCACCCCACACCATCTACATACTTCTCCTGATGATCAGATCTGTTATAAGCCTAGAATGTAAACAATAGATACCAAATGTATGACAGCCACACTTGTATTTGGTCTCTTCTGCTACGTAAATCGGTTAAATGTATTATAAAAATAGCTTTACCAATCAATCATTCAATGTGTACTTTTACTTTTACCTAGCTATAACAAAATTGACAACAAATTGCATTTACGTTTTTTTATCGTTAACATTTCCAGGGAGGAAAATATTTTTAGAGCAAATTCTAAAAAAAAAAAACGAATTCCTAAACAACTTTTTTTTTACTGTCAATGACTGCACTGCACTTTAAAAATTTCCTTTGTTTTCTTTCAAACCGTTTCATATTCCAGTTATTCAAAGCCACCAATCTTTTTTTTTTAAACAACCAACCTTGAAGTTTGGAACTATTTGCAACCTTACAGTGGCTAAGAGTTGTCGTTCTTGGCCCTTGAAATCCCCCCTAATCCAGCTTGCCAGTCCCAATTCTTTCACAGAATCAAGGCGCCATTAAACAAGGGACTCTACTCTCAAGTTTTTGCCGGCAATAGTTTAATATAGCCCGACGTATCGCCTCTATTGAAATGTCATTGACGTAGGGGTCGGGGTGTTTTGTATAGCACAAAGAGAACTTAATTATTCTCGCAATTATCACATACTTTAACTTAATTAAACCAAGCTATAAAATGCTGAACTGGGAAAAAAAGGCCAAATATATATATGTTTAATACAAACCTTTTAAAAAGATGACTTACAAACATTGTCATTCATATGTACTGGAGATTGCATGGAGATTTTACTTTTAAACATTCAATCATGTATTAGATTAAATGAATGTTATTTTACCATTATTTTTTCCCCCGTTCGTGCTAAGGCAGATGAAGTAGAGTTCATCTGTTTCACATACCTCGTCATATGAACGGATTGTGTGGTCAGCACTAGGCCCAACCACCTTTGCTTTCCTTAATGTTCGGATTCGAACCCAAGACTCACGGGTTAGCAGTCAAGGTATCTACCGCTAGACCACGCCGTCCCTTGAGGTGTTATAGCGATACAACTACCATTTTAAAATTTGACTGGTGTAGAAAACCGTTCATGTCCACTTTTTTTCTTTATGAGTTACTGTGAAAGCAAATGTATATTTACTTTGGTCTAATTAAACAGATTATTTTTCTTAATTACTCTATTCGAGGCCACACTTAGTCCTACTAGCTTTCAGATGGGTATTATTTTGGGAACCCAATTTTCAGCTGATTCTAAAAGTCAACTAATATTAACCCAGATTAATGACACAATAAATAACTGGCTTAGACATTCACAGATCTCAGATCCGTATCTGACGGGTCAAATGATTAGTGCCGGCTAAAAATAGATGATCTGAGTCTGGCATTAGAACATTCTTGAAGGTATCGGAAGTTGAAGTCACGAGATGCAGGTCCTGATATAGAGCTGGATGGAAAGGTCAGCTCAATATCCCCCCCCCCCCCGTCGTCCCCTACACGCCAACCTCGCACGCTAAGTTCGGCCTTCACCTTGGCATCGGTCACACGGGAACCCACAGCCCTCCCCTCCCCTCCCCCATTTAGTGACGTCAGGATGACCACAGATTCCGATGTTATTTTTAGCGCTTTGTGTTCTTCAACCCCCGTGGGTCGTATCGCCCTCCCCGTCCGTCTCCTTGTGTCGTCTGGTGTTGGTCAAGTACCCTGGGGCTCACTAGGGTAGATGCTGTAGGTCATTGTAGGTCATTGTAGGTCCTTGGACTTAGGTCTGTCCAGTGTTCTACCGCTGGGTAACACTTTTTATATCAGTGTTCTACCGCTGGGTAACACTTTTTATATAAATGTTCTACCGCTGGGTAACACTTTTTATATAAATGTTCTACCGCTGGGTAACACTTTTTATATAAATGTTCTACCGCTGGGTAACACTTTTTATATAAATGTTCTACCGCTGGGTAACACTTTTTATATAAATGTTCTACCGCTGGGTAACACTTTTTATATAAATGTTCTACCGCTGGGTAACACTTTTTATATAAATGTTCTACCGCTGGGTAACACTTTTTATATCAATGTTCTACCGCTGGGTAACACTTTTTATATCAATGTTCTACCGCTGGTTAACACTTTTTATATCAGTGTTCTACCGCTGGGTAACACTTTTTATATCAATGTTCTACCGCTGGGTAACACTTTTTATATCAATGTTCTACCGCTGGGTAACACTTTTTATATCAATGTTCTACCGCTGGTTAACACTTTTTATATCAATGTTCTACCGCTGGGTAACACTTTTTATATCAATGTTCTACCGCTGGTTAACACTTTTTATATCAATGTTCTACCGCTGGTTAACACTTTTTATATCAATGTTCTACCGCTGGGTAACACTTTTTATATCAATGTTCTACCGCTGGGTAACACTTTTTATATAAATGTTCTACCGCTGGTTAACACTTTTTATGTAAATGTTCTACCGCTGGGTAACACTTTTTATATAAATGTTCTACCGCTGGGTAACACTTTTTATATCAATGTTCTACCGCTGGTTAACACTTTTTATGTAAATGTTCTACCGCTGGGTAACA